AAGAATAATTCAGATTCTGTAACATACTACAATACTCTAAAATAACAGTTGTTGTTTAACCACAGTTGTACAAACTTTAATTTTTCTAAGATTAGTTGTTTCACAGAATAAAATTTAATAGCCACAATGTTAAAAGTAAAATTAATGTTTCAAGAAATCCTGGTTACTTTATCATTTAGATTAAATTTTGTTTTACATCAGTGTATGAACATTTTGACCTTAGAGAAAAACCTCAAATAGTTTTGAGAGTTCCACATACACATAACCAACTTAGTTACACATCAGCTTGTTGCAATTTGCCCTTTTCTTACATAGTTGTCCTTTTTTTAAAAAAAATTTTTCTTTGGGTGTAAGTTGACACAATGCCTTTATTTAATTAATTTATTTATATGTGGTGCTGAGGATGGAACCCAGGGCCTCACACATGCTAGGCGAGTGCTCTGCCACTGAGCCACAACCCCAGCCCCTACACAGATGTTCTTTATAACTTACTTAAATTCTCGTTTCACTTTTTTAGACCCTCATGTTTTTCCACTCATACATGAGATTTTTAAAAATTTTTTGTTGTTGTTGTCAATAGACGTTTATTTTATTTATATGCAATGCTGAGATTTGAACCCAGTGCCTCACACATTCTAGGCAAGTGCTCTACCACTGAGCTACAGCCCCAGCCCCATGAGATTTTTTTTTATATTTATTTTTTAATTGTAGATGGACACAGTACCTTTATTTATTTATTTTTATGTGGTGCTGAGGATCCAACCCAGGGCCTTGGACGTGCTAGGTGAGTGTTCTGCTGAGCCACAACCCCAGCCCAATATGTTTTTTTTTTTTTTTTATCACTTATTTGAATTCTCTTGTTTCACGTATTTAAGACTTTCACATTGTTCCTTATAAAGACTTTCTTACCCGGAAACATCTTAGCATCTTTAAGTTTCTCCTTCCCATTTGTTGACCCTTACTTTTGTTCACATTTTGAAACAAAAGATGAGAATTATTCCATTTTAATAAGATGAAAACCTTATATTATTTATAGTGCTCTAATTGAAACACAGGTGAAACTTTTGGGCCTTTGTATACAAAAATCTTCTATAAACCATTTCATATAGAATTACATCTGTTTATCAGTTTATGAAAACATAATGTCTTAAGTATATAGAATTACACCTGTTGGGACTTTATTAGTAACCTTGTTTTTAGTGATGACATAGAATATTTTAAAATTCTTTTTAAAAAATTTACCAACCTATGAAAAAAACAATAAAACCAGTAATATTTAATTGTGTTACCTTATGGAATTTAAGGAGTTAAGAGTACCTGATGTTATATTTAATAGTTAGCATGTTAATTTTGTAGATTAATCAGATGTTTCTAACAAATATGATTATGAGTAATACCATACATGTTGAAGTTAATATATGTTAAATCTAACTTACTTATTCCACGGCAAAACCAAGACATTGTTTAATATATTTGTCTGATAGTTTGGCCTTTCCAGTGCAACAAGCAAATTAGACTCCTTATGGAATAGTATTTATTATCTTTTCCTTGTTGAAGGGAAGTTCTAGAAACAGTGGATATTAGATATTTTATAGACATTAACTTTGTTAAAGACATCTTTACTTTTATTTGCTCATCAAATTTACTTTGAACCCTTTTAAATTACGTGAATTGAAGGTATTTGGATCCATTGTTGAATTTTAGTTTGAGTGCTCTATGTGGGTTTTGAGACATACACATGTGTAGACAAGACAGTACATAGAACAACAAATAAAGGCCTATGACTTTTAAATTTATTAGATTAAAAGCAAACTTTTGTAAATTGGACTCCATAAAACAGGTCTGATCAGAAGTTATAATTTAGGTGCATAGGATTAAAACTATGAGCTGAAAATATAGGATTTAAAAACAGGAGTCCTAGGAAAAAATTGTGTAGCCATTAATCATTTTAGTTTAATAACATGAGAGAATCTCCCGTTAATAATTTTGGTTTAGCTGTATAAAAGAATGAGAGAGAGATAGTGAGAGGGAGAGAGAGGAGGAGAGAGAGAATTTTGAAGTCATTTTTCTGTGTTGCCACTAGGGAAAGATAGGAATTAAATAGTTTTGGGCCTGTTGGATTCTTGTGTCTTTAAGATCTCCTCAGAAGGAGAATATTTGTTTGTTGTTTGGCTATTTATTATTCCTGTAATTTGGGGTTCTTTGGATGTATTCGGGGACCTRGAAAATTGGCTGCTCACATTGGGGACAGTCCACCTTCCAGTGTCCCTGTTGTTAACATTTGGGACAGGCCTCAGGTTAGGGCAGACATATATATTTGATAYACCTTTATTTTATTTATTCTATTTGGTGCTGAGAATCGAACCAGTGCCTCACACATACCAGGTAAGTGCGCTACCACTGAGTACCAGCCCCAGCCCCTGGGGCAGACTTTTGCCCAGTGTCCAGTCCATCCACATCGGGTGCGAGAACAGTCAACAGCCCAATGGTCTGCCTGGTGGCATTTACGACAGGGATGGGGCTGGGGGGGTTGCCGAGGATTAGGGCAGGATCTGACCCAATGACCTGACTGGYCACATTTGAAACATGGTACGGGTGGTTCCCTGGGGGGTATTTTGGAGGGTCTAAGGTGAGTGGGGGCATAAGCTATGGGGGCGTTCTCTTGGCCTTGAATTGTGGAGGCCAGGGGCTGGTATATAACCTTAAGATGTTTCTTTCTTTTTTTGGCTTCCTCCTCCCGGTTGTTAAAAACCTTGAAAACCTTATCTAAGAGTAGCTGCTGAGGAGACTCAGGGCCCTCCTCTAAAAGTCTGAGTTTTTTGTGGATGTCAGGTGCAGACCCGCAGATAAAGTTAAAACGAAGGAGCCTGCCTTAGGGGCTGGTGACATCCCAATTTGTGTATTTGGTGATAGCCTCAGTAAGTTGGGCCAAAAATTGGGCGGGATTTTTATTAGGTCTTTGGGTAATTTCCTTTATCTTTTTTCAATCTACCATGATTAGTAATAGTTTTTGGCTGATTAATTTGGCTGTAGCTAAAGGGCAGACTAAGGAGAAATGTAAGATATATTGGAATCAGGGAGGATGGGGGAAACTGTCTTCCTCCAATAGAAAAAAACAGAGGTGGAGCAGTGTGTAGAGGCCCAAATAATGAATGGCTTGCAATAGTTTTGGGGTGATTGTCCAATTTCGAGGGACAGTGATGGCTAGGCAATTGAAATTAAGTCAGATAGGATTTTTGGATTGGGAGCTCCCCATGAGAGTTTAATAGCTGAAGCGGCTAGAGGCAGGTATCCCCAGCTCTAGACCAAACTAGAGGGAGTGGACAAGACCCGTTATGGGGAGACTCACCAAGGGGGATCCTCCAAAAGGGAAGGGAAGGGAAGGAATGGTCGAGAGTCTTGGCATTGAACCAAAAACTAAGTTAACTTTTGTCTTCTGAGGGTCCTGGTGCTGAAGGACCCGAGGCTTAAGTTAACTGTCCTCTCTAGAGAGTCCCAGTGTTGAGCCAGGACCTAAGTTTTGTCTCTAGAGGGTCCTGGCACTGACCTGGGACTTCAAGGTGAGAGGAGGGAAAGGTAAGGTCACTTACCAAAATAAGGCCTGTGTGTGGTCATTGGAGAGCTCTCAGTGGATGGAAAGGAGTGTGTGGGAATCGTCCTGGGCCTTGGGTTTGGGAAAGGATCCTGAAGCTGCTCAGATCCCCTGGAGGGGAGAGCAAGGTGGATGGGATTTTCCTAKCCAGCACACCAATGTAAGGAAACTGTTGCAGGCCTGACCACTGGAACACACCAAAGCTAAGCAGGAGCAAATTTATTGTCAGGAATTTGACAGGCTGCCTCTGCGCAGAGAACAGTAGCAGATTTCCTCTGAGCAAAATCTTTCTAAGTCAGAATCTAAGTTATGCATTGGGGTAGCTCTTAGTATTGCAGGTAGAAAGCAAGCTTCAAAACCTCAAGAACCACAAAGGGGAGGGGGCAGGAGGAGCCAACATACTGTCACCAAGTTCTTGAACTGGCAGCCCCTATACATACTCAGAAAGTAAGTTAAAATGTGTGAGCATTGTGGAGAGGGTGCAGGTGGGTGGGGGTGTTATTCAGCTTCTTTGTGTATAGGCTCTTGCAAGAAGGGGGTTGGAGGAACAGGGTGAGATGTCTGAGCAGACTGGGGTCAGCTTGACTTAACTTCTAAATTAGCTATAGTTATATTAACAGGCTAACAGTATAAGGGTTTTTGTTTGTTTTGTTTGGTTCTGAATTAACAGAATTACTATACAAACTGGATATAGGCAAGAGAGAGCATTACAAGTAACTGGCTCTCAGTGCAGGGTCTCTGGTCATTGCATGGGATGAAAAAAAATGATTCTTATTGGCCTTTAACTTTTCTGAATTGCTCAGAAACCATGACATAATCCTCCCGACGTGCATATTGATTCATAATTTCATTTTAACTTCAGTACCCATGAGGTTTGAAATAAAAGAAAATCCTATTCATTAACCCCTGGCCCAGTGTGGGGTTCCCTTATAACATCCATCGCATTTGCAATAAGATTTACTTGAGGTTCTTTCCTGACAAATTGTCGTTTTTATTATGGGAAAATTAGAACCTATTGAAGAATATATTCATCTTTGTATTCCCATCATCCATGGAGAATTCTAAACATTTAACATCAGGTCCTTTCCTGTGTGGCAACTGCATATACGCATAATTTTTCTTTAAAACTCGGGGTCATTCGTTGGGCTTGGGTGGCTTATTAACGATGAATCGGGTCCTCTTTGTGTGTAAACTTTCACCCACGGGTACCCACTCTGGTGAGGAGTGGGAACTCGCAACCGCAGGCAACAATGAGAAGGGACGGCCCCAGCGGCTGTGTACCACTCAACCGAAGCTTGGGTCTGGCGAACCGGGAACCCGAGGTCCTCGGCGTAGAGACCGAGATCTCCAGGGCTCCCGGGGCACCGCCAAACGCGCGCGCCCCTAGGGAGCCGCACCGGCTACTGCGCAGGCGCCCAAGCTGGAGGGCGGAAGCGGAAGGCTCGACGCGTCGGTGGGAGCCCGAGTGACCGTAACCATGCGCGGCCTGGAGGAGTCGGGGCCTCGACCCACAGCGACCCCGTGCGGGTGCATAAAGCCAGCCCTGGAGACAGGTAACTTCTAGGAACTGGCGGTGCCGCACTCAGAAGAGGACTCGGCGCAGGCGGCCAATTTCGTGCCTAGAGAGAAATAGGAATGCGAGAGACCGAACTGACGTGCGTCATTGTCCTACTTGTGGCGAAGGCACAGGTCACGTGCTCGGTCGACCACGTGACATAGCGGAGGCGAGCGGGTGACGTCGTCGCGCATGTTCCGTTCTTGTTTCAGGGTTTGTACGGTTCCCTGATCTTGGCGCGGTGGCCAGAACTGCCACGTGCAGTGTAAGGGCTTTTCTCTCTGCGGAGGTCTCTGTGCAGTGGGGGAGTTAGGCTGTGTCCAGCTGGTGAGGAGGTAGATGCCAGAAGAGAGAGCTTCCTGTGCTCTAGGAGATAGGGAGGGAGAAGGGAAAGTTTGGGGAGAGGAAGCCTGAAAGATAAGCATAAAGTTATCTTTATTTACCCCTCTTTATGGTGAGTGAAATATTAGTTTTAGAACTAGAGGATGCAAGTGAAAAGAAAGAAAAATAGCCTGCCATGACGCAGAGAAAAACCACTGTTAATACCTGCTGTCTACCTCCTGTAGTTGTTCTCGTTGCACACACGCTGGGGAGATGAGAGGAAATGCAACCAGAGTGTTAATAACTTTGAGAAAAATATGCGGGTCAGGCCTGTATCCCCAGCTACTGAGAAGGCTTAGGTGAGAGAATACCTTGAGCCCAGGAATTGGAGGCCAGTCTTGTAACATTGTAGACCCTGTTTCAAAATATATGTATATATATACACACACACACACACACAAAATTGTTTTGAAATTAAAACAAAATATTTCACGTACAAAAATCTTTCCACTGCAATTAATTCACTTTTATTGTTTTAGAGATGTACTGTAACGTTATCAGCTGGTTCTCTATTGTTGGACATTTGAGTTATTGCCAGTTTTTATTGTCATTGAAAGATTCTTGAAAATCTTGAAGTCTATATATGTTCTAACTATTGAACATAAGTAAAATTTCATAGAAGTTGCTGTTACCTGGTCAAAGGTTATGCTGATTTAATTTTTTCTTTTTTAACACATTACCAGATTACAAGTCTAACATTTTGGACAGGAACAAGCAAGAACCAAGGCTCAGGGATTCAGAGCTTGGGGTGTGGAAACTGAAAATTTAAAGTGTTAAATGGACCAATGGTGCAGGGAGAGTGGTTTCAGATTGGGGAGAACTTTGAATACCAGGCTAAGAAATATGGAGTTTACCCTGGACTTGATGGTGCATTTCTGTAATTCTAACTACTATGGGGGCTGAGACAGGATGATTGCAAGTGGAGGTCAGCCTTGTCTGTTTCAAAATAAAAAGGTTTGGGGATATAGCTCAGTGGTAGAGTACCTCTGGATTGAATACCTAGCAACACACATATAACATGCATATGCAATATGTATCGTTAGGAGCAAATCTGAGAGGATAACTTCAGTTTGATAAGTTTTAACCAAGTTTTATTTGTGTGTATGTATGTGCATGTGTGTGCATGTGCCAGGGATTGACTCTAGGAACATTTAACCACTGAGCTACATCCCCAGCCTCTTTTTATTTTTAATTTTAAGGCAGGTTTTCACTTACTTGCTTGGGGTAAGTAGTAATCCTCCTGCCTCAGCCTCCCAGGTCAGTGGGATTACAGGCACCACTGCACATGGCATAAATTATATTTGAATAGGAAGTAGAAGACCAAATTTAGGTTCCTTTTTAATCTTAGGGAAAGGAAAGATATGGCATAGGTTAAAAGCAGTCTAGGGCTGGGGCTGTGGTTGAGTGGTAAAGCACTTGCCTCGCATGTGTGAGGCACTGGGTTGATCCTTAGCACCAAAATAAATAAAGATACTGTGTGTTCATCTACAACTAAATAAATATTGGGAAAAAAAGGAGTCTAAAAAGATGGAAGTTGTCCGGGTATGGTGGCATATGCCTGTAATTCCAGTGGCTCGGGAGGCTGACGCAGGAGAATTGCAAGTTCAAAGCCAGCCTTGGCAATGGCAAGGTGCTATCAACTCAGTGAGACTCTATCTCTAAATAAAATACAAAATAGGGCTGGGGATGTGGCTCAGTAGTTGAATGCCCCTGAGTTCAGTCCCTAGTACATCCCCCCCACAAAAAAAGATGGAAGTTGTTGGCAGTGCATTAGTTCTTGGGATGGATATAGGTATACAGGATTTCATTATAATATTAGGCTTTTTAATTTACATATATGTTGTATATAATGTTATATGTATAAAATAATATGGTTTTTATAAATGAGAAGTAATAGAAGGTACTGTGAGATATAGTCCTAGATCTGTATGGTTTTACTGCTGATGCCGATAGGATAGATTTCATGGAAACTGGAAATAAAATGGAGGTCTAGATTGTCTTTGTATCATCTCTTCAAGAAACTTAAGACTTTCATGAGATGGGGGTATATATAAATTCAGAATGGACTGAGCATGTGGTATATGCCTATATCCCAGCTACTTGGGGGGCTGAGGCAGGAGGATTGATGGAGCCCAGGAGTTCCAGGCTAGCCTGGGCAACATAGTGAGACAAAAACAAAACAAAACAGAACAAAACCCAGTAAGTTTTAATTTGCATAACACCTGGTGGGGTTTTTAAACTATGAACTAGAGACATTGGAGAAGTCATGTTTTCTTACACCTTTTGACTAATGATTTCTTACCTAATTTTCTTCTGCAGGGAATCTATTAACTGAGCCAATAGGCTACTTGGAATCCTGTTTCTTGGCCAAGAATGGCACGCCAAGGCAACCATCCATTTGTAGCCATTCTCGGGCCTGTTTAAGGATTAGAAAGAGCATCTTTAATAATCCTGAACATTCCTTGATGGGCCTAGAACAGTTTTCCCATGTTTGGTAAGTTGTTTTATAGTTTATGGTCCTTTGGGCCAGACTTGCCCCTGAGTGAATTACTCCAGTTGAAGGCAAATTTGGAGTCTGACAGCCAGACTACTCTTATTTATTACATGGAGTGTTGATACCACATTTGTCCGTGTAATTGTTTTCATGGTTTGGATACCTTCAGAAAAGCTTGGAATCTACTACGGGGGTTTATTTCATTTGCCCCTGATTCTAATTGTGACGAATCCCTTCTGTTAAGCTGAAACCTTTGACCTTGATTTTGCCCATGGGTCACCTCTAGACCAAGAGTCAGCATACTATAGCCTGTGGACCAAATATTGTCCACTCCTGTTTTCATATGTTAGCTTTGCGAGACCATAGCCTTACTTATCTGTTTATATATTGTCTGTGGCTATTTACTGTAGCATGCCTGTTTGTTTGCATATAGTGTGTAGCTACTGTTATGCAACACTGTTGTAGTGGCAGCGTTGTGTAGCTGCAACAGTGACTGGTTAGCTTCAAAACCTAAAATATTTACTATCTGACATTTTACAGAAAAAAAAAAATTACGAATCCTGATGTAGACTCACGAAGTAATTAAGTATACTTTTCTGAAAAGACAAGAAATCTGCTGGGTATGGTGGCGCTACTGTAATTCCGGTGGCTCAGGAGGCCAAGGCAGGAGGATGGCGAGTTCAAAGTCAGCCTCAGCAACTTAGTGAGGCACTAAGCAGCTCAGAGAGACCCTGTCTCTAAATAAAGTATAAAAAAGGGCTGAGGATGTGTCTCAGTGGTTAAATGCCCCTGGGTTCAATCCCCAGTACCAACTAAACAAAAACAAAACAAAACAAAAACACCAAACAAACAAAAACAACAACAACAACAACAAAAACAATAAACAGGAAGCCTTAGAAATCTAGATACTACTTGCTATCATTTGGAATTCTTTCTCTGTCCATTCTTCTTCACCCCAACATCAGCAATCTACATTGGTCTCATTTTACTGGTGGAGATGTGAAGTTTTTTATTCTGAAATAGGTTATTTTTCATATTTATTTGGGGACATGGGTAGATTAGAAAAACGTGGTATCCTGACATAGTTTGTATGATCTTCTAAGTTGAAAACATAGTTGGTATAAAAGATTTGGGAGTATGTAGAGATTTTTATTTACCATTTCTATTTTTCCTCCTTTCTTACTCCTATTTCCCAACACTCTTCAGAGGTTATTATCGTTAACAGTTTTATGTAAGTCCTACCAGACCTATTCTTTTTTCCTTTTTTAATATACATAGAAGCATAGATAGTCACAGAGTGGGTGTTTGATTTAAAAAAATGGAATATGTTTTCTTCACTTAATAGTCTATGTCATGGAGAACTTTTATGGCAGTACATGCAGATATACCTTTTTTGCTTTAAAATTGTCTGTTGCAAAATACAGATCTACCATGTTTTGATCATTTGACTGTTATGGTAGTACTGTGACAAACCCCCTTGGACACATTTTCTTGTGTATTTGTGCATTTTTATCAGTAGGATAACAAACGTAGATGTATTGGACCAGAGGGTGTGCATATTTATGATTTTGGAGAGCTACTTTCAACATTGCTCTCTAAAATTAATCTCACACTTACACTTCAACAGTCTATGCAAATGACCTTTTTCTTACACCTTCCCCAGCACAATATGTTATCAGTATTTTATATTTTTGCCTGATAGAGGAGAAACAGTATTTTGTTTTATTTAGTGAGACTCATCATCTTTTCATATGTTTTTTAGCTATTTAGAATTGCCTGTTTTTGTTCTTTGCTAAGTGTCCTCTATTGGTTTGTCTTTTTCTTTTTTGGTGCTGGGGATTGAACTCAGGGAAACTTGGCCACTGAGCCCCATCCCTAGCTCTATTTTGTATTTTTATTCAGATTCAGGGTCTCCCTGAGTTRCTTAGCACCTCGCTTTTGCTGAGGCTGGCTTTGAACTCACAATCCTCTTGCCTCAGTCTCCGGAGCCACACAAGTGTGTGCCACCGTGCCTAGCTATTGGTTCGTCCTTTGCTTTGTGGTTTTTTTATGTAGTAGTAATTTATATCCCACAGATATGAACCTTTTGTATGTAGCTAACATTTTCTGTTAGAATGACATTTTGTAATGAATAAATTTAATGATTTAATGAATTCAAATCTGTTATTGTTTTTATTCATGGCTTCTTGATTTTATGTCTTTTTTAGGAAGATCTGGTTAAGTTATTCAACTTTTCTGAGCTTCAATTTCCTCATCCCTTAAAATGAGGGATAATTTATACGTCTTATGATTGTTAAGATTATTACGTGAAATGGCTATAAAAATGCTGCCTGGCAAATAGCAGGCACTTAGTAATTATTGTTTATTCAGGCATGTGACAAATGTCTGTCATAGACCTACGGTACGCCAGTCATTGTGTGAGGTATAAAGGATCTAGAGACCCATGACTTTATTCCATCAAGGAAGAGAAGTGGTATTATTTTCTCCTGTCTGATTAATTCCATTACAAACATTCTTTTTGTTAATTTGTATGAGGGGGTTACATTCCCCCCCAATCAGTATGCTCATATTTTACTCAGTGGTTTGGTTTATTTTCAATAGGATTTTGTTTGTTTTTCACAAAAATGGTCATTTGAGCTATAAGGCAAAAGTGCAGCCCCCTAGGCTGAATGGTGCAAAGACTGGTGTGTTTTCCACAAGGAGCCCTCATCGTCCCAACGCCATAGGACTGACCCTGGCCAAGCTGGAAAACGTGGAAGGTAACCCATTTCATTTCTACTTTTATCTTCTTATCTCAAAATGTCTTGTAAAGCCTGGTGTGGTGGCTCAGGCCTGCAATCCCAGCTCCCCCCCCCCACACACACACACACAGGGCTGGGGGTGCAGTTCAGTGGTTAAAGTACCCTCGGTTTCAATCCTTAGTGAAAGAAAAAAAAAACTTGTAAAGTCACTATAGCATCACTGCTTGCTTCTGTTCACATGAACACTACTGATGTTAAACTCCCGAGAACCCCTAGATATTGAGGAACARATGATGTTTGAAAGAAAGTTGCTTTAAAACACTAGGAATTAAACTCTTCTGGGAAGCTCAGAATTTGTTTTTAATCACTCATTTATCCAAAAACATTAAATTAGTGGGGCATGATGGTACACATCTTTAATTCCAGCATCTCTAAAGCCTGAGGTGGGAATAAGGCAGGTTTGACACCAGCTCAAAATAAAATGGCTGAATATGTAGCTCTGTGGTCGAGTGCCCCTAGGTTCAATCCTCAGCACTACAGGAAGAAAAACACATTAATTTTTTTTAATATCTTTATTTTTATTTCTTTTCATGTGGTAATGAGGCTTGAATGCAGTGCCTCACATGCTCTACCTCAGCCCCACATTAATTTTTAAAAGAAAAACGTATAGACTTCATAATCATTAAATTATGTAACCAGATTTTCTCAGACTTGGAATGTAGTAAATACAAAATGATTAAAAAGTAATTGAAAAAGCTAATTTTTACTTTAACCAAAATAAAGCAAATATGACTGTTTAAAAAAATTAATTGGAAACTGGTCGTAGTGGCACACACCTACAATCCCAGGATCTTGGGAGGCTGGGGCAGAAGGATTACAATTTTGAGGCCAGCTTCAGCAATTTTGTGAGGACCCTAGCAACTTAGCAAGACGCTGTCTCAAAATACAAAATAAAAATAAAAAAGGACTGGGGATATAGACAGTGGCTAAGCACCCCTGGGTTAAATCCCTAGTACCAATAAAAAATTGGATGCATTCAAATGTAACTCATGGTAACTGGTCATACTTGCAGACCTAGTAGGCACAGAGTAGTGGTTTATCACTTCTTCCTTGAGGCCTTGAGAACAAGGACATCATGGCTGCAGCACAGCCATCAGCTCTGCTGTGTGTCAGGGCCTGGGCTGCATCACACTGAAGTATCAAATATCTGGCGGATTGTGGAAGTGTCTATGATGTAGGCAGAAGATGAAGTGCCTGTGTGCCACCATGACCAGTTTCCAATTAATTTTTTTAAACAGTCATATTTGCTTCCACAGGATTGGTTTTAACTGTGTGTTCCCATTTAACCTCTAACAGTTTTAAAGATCTTCACATTCTTAAATCACTCAGACCTGGTAAATATGAGGTAGGCAGAAGTTGAAACAGCAGATAGACTAGGAGCCAGAAGACCATTCTGGGCTTTGACATTCATAAAATGGGCAAAGGAGAAGAACCTGTCCTCTCTCTGACTCCACAAGATTTTTTTTTTAAACCATCTTTGAGACAAAAGCTACGAGAGTCCTTTTTGGCTATTGATCACTAAATAAATAAATAAGAGTGTTTATTTTGCTCATTTTTTCCTCAGAACTTAGAATTCCTTTGCTGGATTATACTCAACCAGGCAGGTTTTGGGTAGATTTTCAAGGAAATCTGGTAGCTGATCCATCTTGAATTTTATGATGGTTTACCAAAGTGGGTAATAGTGTTGGCGAAAGACCAAACCCAAGACCCTGTGAAGGGTTGTGGCTGACGCTCCCCATAACAGAAGACAGGTTCCTAAGAGAAAGCATGATAAATTTATTAATGTACACAGGGAAAAATCACAGCATGGGAGTCATACACAAAACAAGTCTTCATGAACTCCTACCTATGCCTTTCTTTCTCCTGCAGGCATTGTTAGACATAATTCATCATTTATAATATCCAAAGTCATCTTTTAAAAGTTTCAGGCTTATTCATAGTAAGCATGTTTTAGAAACCAGAGTCCATATATAGTCATTTTTTAAAAATATTTATTTTTTAGATGTAGATGGACACAACACAATGCCTTTATTTTTATGTGGTGCTGAGGATAGAACCTGGGTCTCACCTGTGCTAGGCAAGCGCTCTACCGCTGAGCCACAATCCCAGCCCCTCATGTTTTTCTTAAATGGAGACATAATCAAAATGATCCCATGCATTTTTTTAAAGTTCTTTTTCAGACAGTTTACCAAGACACTATTAGTAGCAGGAAGTGAACAATAGCTGTCTTAGGACAACAGGAGACCTGTCATTAATTTTGGTAATAGTGGCTTATTTGCATCCTACTTCCTTAAGTCTTGATGAATATATTTCTATTGCTGTGTAACAAATTACCAAAGATGTACCAGTTTAAGTAGCACATATTTATGATGGTAACTGGTCATACTTGAAACATTGCTACCTTTTTGTAGGTCAGGAGGTCACCTTAGCTGGGTCCTCTGCTTTGGATCTCCAGGAGTACAGTTAAGTTCTTAGCTGGGATAAATTCTTATCTGGAGGCTTGACTGTGGAAGAATCTACTTCTAGACTCATTGAAGTTGTTGGCAAAATTCATTTCCTTGTAATGTATGACTGAGGTCTTGAGTTTTTTGCTGGAGACTACTCTCATCTCTAAAGGCTGCCCACATTTCTCAGAGGCAGCTTGTAGTTTTTTGCCACATGGACTTTCCCAACGTGCCTGCTTATTTTGTCAAGCTGCAGAGAGTCCTTCAAGTGAGTCCACCAGCAATCAGGAATCTTGTAGGAAAACGGAGATACTGGAGGGTAGTCCAGCTCTTTTGTTACATTCTSTTGGTCAGAATCAARATACAGTCAAGAGGAGGGTTACACAAGGACTTAAGCACATGGATGTGGGGGTCCTGGGGGCCACTTAAAGTCTGTTTGTCACAATGGAAACCCTCCTTGGACCATCAGTGATATATTGAGGGATGTGATGTGCCTGGAACAGCTGTAAGCACCAATCCTGCAAAGATGGGTCAATGCCAGCCCATGCTCAAGGGGCTTGCTTGCTGTCTAGGGATAGACTCCAAGCAAGTCATTGCCACTCTGTGTAAAAAGGACTCTAGTAGAGATTTTGCTTATGTCTGGGAGTTCCAAAAAGATTTGCAGACATGTTCTGTGAGAGCCTTGAGGAGCAGGTAAGATTTTGGCAGGTAAAGAAAAAGATGGGTTTTCAGGTAGAAGAGAAGTGTATGTAGATGGAAGGTGTTAAGAACCTGGTGTGGGTGAGCCCAGTGAGGTCTAAGAAGACCACGTGGGAGAGAATTTGGGGCTTAATCATATCCTCCAATTATTTGCATTGTTCTTCCCTGTGAATATATTTTTTAACATTTTTAGTTACAGATGGACACAACACCTTTATTTTATTTATTTATTTTTATGTGGTGCTGAGGATCAAACTCAGTGCCTCACGCGTGCTAGGTGAGCACTCTACCACTTGAGCCACAACCCTAGCCCTGGCTGTGAATATTTTTTAAGAGTATTTTTTCACCTTATAGGTGGAGCTGTTTACCTGTCTGGAATTGATATGATACATGGCACACCTGTACTGGACATAAAGCCCTACATAGCTGATTATGACTCGCCACAGAATTTGATGGAGCCTTTAGTGGACTTTAATTTACAGAATAACCAACCTAAGCCAAACACTGTGTTCCAGTGTGAAGGCAAGAATGACAGCTATGACCAGCGACAGCTCTCAGGGTACAGTGACTCTCAGCCCCATTGCAGCACTGAGGAGAAACCTACATGTCCTGAAGACAGAACTTCCAAAGAAAGCTACCCGAGATGTGACAGCACAGGGGAAGGCCAGCAGACTTTGCCTATGCACAGAGAAAGAGCAACAGATTTTGGTTTGGAATCAAGAAATGATCAGAGTCCTAGTGTGGCTGAAGAACAGATTGTCCTGTGTGGCCTGGAAAATAGCTGTCCAGAGGAAGGTACAGATGAGGGGCCAAGGAGTGAGGAAGGAGCAGTGGAAGGAGCAGTGGAAGGAGCAGCGGTTCTGCAAGGGAGCAGTGTTGATACGCAGCCCACGTCTCCTCTCTGTGGGGCCAGGAGGGCTGATAGAGCTCCCCACAGTGTGGTTCCTGCCTGGGTGAGAGAGGCCCCTGTGGCCCCTTTACAAGTGCGGTTTACTCCTCATGCTGAGAAGGAGCTGGGGCAGCTCAGTTCAGGAGGTGAACCAGGTACCCTCAGTTTCTTGTTTCTGAATGAGAGATGAGCTTTCATTTACTATCAGACTTAGCCAGGTTTGATATTTTCAGGGCAAGTATATGAAGTATTTGTAGTATGACTGATTTTTTAAGAAACAGGAGTATATATATTTGGGCAACACTAGTGTATAACGACTTTTGTTTGACCCCTGTGTGGTCAGTATAGTTAGGTCCAGACAGGCATTCAGTTCAGTTTCTACAGAGTGGCTGCTGTCCCATGAGGCAGCTGTGATTTACAGCCCTTGTCTTCCTGTTACAGTCATTCTTTGCCTTTGCAAACGTCATTCAGAAGCTGAACTGTATTCATTTCATACTTAGGTACACCAAGTTTCTTCTCTGTTTTATTGCCTGACTAGAGAGATGTTGCATTTTGTTCTATTAACTGTTAGATCAGCCATCAGCACAGAGGACTTCAGGAGCCCACAGTGAGAGGGGAAGAGAATTTGCCCCCACAAAGTCTAGCCCTAGAGGCATGTACTTTTCTGAGGGAACAGGATGTTTTGTTTTGTTTTGTTTTGTTTTTGAAGATAACCTCAACATTTTATTATCTTCATAACAAAACAAACAAAACAATGAAGCTTAGAACTGGATCACTTGGCCCTTTCTCTTCTTATCAGAAATATGGAATGCTTCACAAATTTGCTTATCATCCTGTTCAGGGGCCATGCTAATCTCTGTATTGTTCCAATTTTAGTATATGTGCTGCCAAAGCAAGCACACAGGGTGCTTTTTTGGAGTCCGTTTGACACATGGTTCTTAACACATGTTATTTGGTTTCACCAGCCCACACAGATCCCAGGTTGCAATCTAGAATGAAGGAAGGGATTATTCAGAAGTAGGAGCAGTGATGCCAGTAAGAAGTAGCCTCTTGTCAGAAGATGTCAGATTCCAAAAAGGTAGAAATCTGTTCGTTGTGTTATATCACAGTAAAGACCCAACATAGTCTTGTAAAGAAGGGAATGCATACATTGATTCTCCAGTCATTCACTGAACTTCTAGGCACGAGGCACTGCCCTTGGTCCTTGGAATAAATCAAATGAACAAAAAAGATTAAGGACTAATTAGAACAAATAAATTAATTAATTAAAAAAAAGATAAAGGCAATCCCTGCCTTCATAGAACTTGAGAAGCAAACTAAAAACATATTGTACAAAACGTAGAAAGATGTTATATAGAAAGGCTGATGCTAGAAGGCTATAATGGTTATAGGAAAATGTAAAAAAGAATAGAGCAGAGTCAGGTTGTGATGATTTTAAATAAGGGGCCAGAGTAGTTGTCGCTGCAAAGGTGCATATGAGCAGAGGCCAAAGAGGTGAAGAAGTAAGCCAGCCTTCCAGGGAGAGGTTGTGCCAGCCCGTGGGACAGCCCGTGGGACAGCCAGTGCACAGCCTTACAGTGGAAGGCGTGTGGCGTGTGTGAGGCCATGTGGCAGAGTGGGCTGTGATGGGCAGAATGGAGAAGCTGAGGTAAGAGAGGCTGCAGGGATGGTCTGCGGGCACATGGGTTCCAGGGAATATTATAAGGACTGAAGTTTTATCTTGGGAGAGGTCAAAGGCAGAGGAACTTGATATCCGTATTCCAGAGAGTAGAGCTTTATTCTTTTTTTTTTTTTTTTTAAAGAGAGAGTGAGAGAGGGGGGGGGAGAGAGAGAGAGAGAGAGAGAGAGAGAGAGAGAGAATTTTTAATATTTATTTYTTAGTTCTYGGCRGACACAACATCTTTGTTGGTATGTGGTGCTGAGGATCGAACCCGGGCCGCACGCATGCCAGACGAGCGCGCTACTGCCTGAGCCACATTCCCAGCCCAGGAGCTTTATTCTTAATCAAAGCTTTTGATTTTAAAATTGATATATTTTTTGAAAGTTTTGCTGGGGTCAGATCACTGCCCAATTGGTAATAAGAGATTTCTGGGATGTCAGTGGCAGGCCGGAGCTCCTGAATCAGGTAATGAAGCCTTTCATTCCATATTCAGAAAATAAAGGCTTAAACAACCACAGAAATTAGTTTCCCCAACTTTACAAAGAGGGAGAGAAGGAAGAGGATAGGAAGGTGTTTGGAACTTAGCCTGAAAGAAGTCCTCTTAATTGGAAAAGTCTCAAAATTGGGGCTGATGAACTGGGGTTGTGGCCCAGTGGTAGAGCTCTTGCCTAGCACGTGTGGGGTATTGGGTCCAATCCTCAGCACCACATAAAAATAAATAAATAAAATAAAGGCATAGAAAACCTTGGGGCTGGTGACAAGTGCCCTAACCAACTCTGGAGATTTCCCTGTTTCTTCCTGCCTGGGCCAGGGCCAGCAACAGGGTAGCAGGTGCCCTCTACCTCTGGAGACAGAGGCCTATGGGTGTGAGCAGTGGGCCTCTTGAGAGCTGTCCTCTCTCCTTTTCCCCTAGAGCTTTATTCTTAACCAAAGCTTTGATTTTAAAATTGATATATGTTTTGAGAGTTTCTTTCATCACTGTATACAGTTGCTGGGGGGAGGAAGGCTGGTTGGAAAAGGATCTTGGGTTGGAGCAGAGGAGTGCTGCCTGGGAGGCACTTTGCTACACTGCCCCTTGTCGAGTGCCACCTACTGTGGAAAGTTCTCTTTTTCAAGTTATCATGCAGTGTATTTAAGGCGTTTCAAATCCACCTTATTGATAAAAAGTGGTTAAAAAGAGAAATTATGCAATAAAACAGAGACTGATAGCAGCAGGGTTCAAGCTGTTAGGAAACAGACATGGCCTGAGGATGTTCAGCACCTGGAGGGTGAGCTGTTGAAAGGGGTGGGGCCTGGTGCTAGCACAGAGGTCTGGGCAGAGCTGGTAGGGCTTAGGGAGGGGGGAGTGTGAATTGGGTTTGAGGGCACAAGATGTGGGAAGGCTTCTTGGAGGACGTTGTCCCTGATCTGTTTGGAGGGACGGAAATCACAAGTCAGGAATGGAGGGCAGAGCTCTTGTGCCAGGTTGGCCAGACAAATGCTCCTGCAGCATTGGTGTGGAGGACTGTGATGAAGTCTTTCACAGGTGGCCCGCACAGTTATTTGATGTGCCATGTAGCTGGGAATGCAGCTCTGTAGTAGAGCACTTGCCTAGCATGTGAGGCCCTGGGTTCAGTCCCTAGCACTGCCAGAAAAATAAGTTAATGATTTTCTGAGCCATGCAAGGAATCTTATGACTATAATTGGTCCTTGTTTTTTCATTAAACATGTATTTCATGGACAGGAAGGATGGCAAGTTCGAGGCCAGCCTCAGCAACTTAGTGAGGCCCTTAGCAACTTAGTGAGAATCTGTCTCAAAACAACTTTTAAAAAGGGATGTAGCTCAGTGGTAAAACACCCTGGGTTAATATCCAGTACCAGGAAACAACAAAATTGAATCCACTCTATGAGGGACAAAGATCCACTGCCCTTCCAGGTGCTATTTTGAGGAGGAATGGCCTTCATTTGGATGTTTTCATTTAAGTGTGTAGATATTTTATTAAAAAAAAAAAATATATATATATATATATATACACACACATACACACACACACACACACACACACACGAAATATTTATTTTTTCAGTTGTAGTTGGACACAGTACCTTTATTTTATTTATTTATTTTATGTGGTGCCAAGGCAGGCACTCTAACATGTGCTAGGCAAGCACTCTAACACTGGGCCACAACCCCAGCCCCAAATTTATATATATTTAAAGATATTAACTAGGGAGGTTTTGCCATTTAGAGGTAAGTATTGGCTTACTTGAAATATGTCCTTGGACAGCTTCCTTGAGATGCCTTGAACTATCTCAGTGTATCTATTTCACTTTTGTCCTAGAACTCTCTCCTGTCTCTGTTCCTTCGGGACATGTAACTATGGGGCTATGATCCCCAGCCCTCTCATTTCTGTTGGCTAGTATCAGGGGTATATATGAGTTTAATTCACTCTCTTGTGGCTTTTTGGCTTTTTGAGAATACTGGGACTATTTTTTTTAAACTATATCTCTGTTTTAAGAGAAAAATTACAAAGATTTAAAATCTACATAGAGTGTAGAAAAAGTGCCATTTTGATTGACACAAAATAAAACTAACGCCTCCTATTTAGAAGTCTAATGAAATATGCCACCATGTTTTTTTTTGTTGTTGTTGTTCAGTAAAATAAAAATTGGGGAGCTGGGGATGTGGCTCAAGCATTAGCGCGCTCGCCTGGCATGCGTGCTGCCTGGGTTTGATCCTCAGCACCACATACAAAGATGTTGTGTCCGCCGAAAACTAAAAAATAAATATTAAAAAATTCTCTCTCTCTCTCTTTAAAAAATAAAATAAAAATTGGGGGGTACACAAATTAAATCTAATGACAGTAAGTACTGCTTAAAGGTGAAACTCTGTATGATGGAATAGGTCCAAACCTTGTTCCTTTCAAGAACCCACCACATTCCATATTGAAGCATACTGTCGTGAAATTTGACCTGTGTAATTTTGATCATTAAGTTGTGTCTCCTCATTGCAGGTGTGGATCAGCCGTCTTTTAGGTATTTTCAGTCAGCAGAGGAAGCGAGGCGTGCAATTGAGGCCGTGCTGGAGGCTGATCCTCGGTCCGTGTATCGCCGCAAGCTCTGCCAGGACCGCCTTTTCTACTTCACTGTAGACATAGCACACGTCACTTGCTGGTTTGGAGATGGCTTTGCAGAAGTTCTAAAGATCAAGCCATTTCTTAGCCCCTGCAGCTGACTGCCCTGCAGAGCCCTTGGTGTCCCTGGGATCTTAAGCTTCCATGGTGGTTGAGACAGTCCCATTGACCTCTGCATGTGACTTCTGGGTTTCCTGTTCAAGCTGATGTTGTGTCTTCTTTGCAGAAGGAAGCAACACTTTGTGCTATGTTTGATTGGTAATGTTCAAAATATTTATTTGGAAAAACATTAATAAATTTAACTGGGAGATATAAAATATGGAGTAATCACCAGATGCTTTTTGACCTGCTGATATTGAAGAATCCAAAGGTGATACTGTCTCACTGGTTTTTTAAAGAAGCTTATAGTTCTTTGCATTTGATCAGATGAGGCAGAGATCATTCTAGCGGAGGTTTTCAAGTTAGAATTGATCTGTTGCACAGTTCACATGGGTTTTCCTGTCTGGAAGAACCTGACCTCTCTCTCAAACTGAGTTATAGTGTCTTTTTTTTTTTTTTAATTCACCATTTTATTTTAAATTTTTTTAAATTATTGATGAACCTTTATTTTATTCACTTATTTATATGTGATGCTGAGAATTGAACCCAGTGCCTCACACATGTGAGGCAAGTGCTCTACCACTGAGTCACAACCCCAGCCCAAATTATAGTATTTTAAGAAGCTAACACATAAAAAACAAGTGACTATAGAGAGTTTTAGAGATTAAACCTCTGTGTTTCAGAGACTTTTTGACAGATACACACACATGTATATATTTAATCCTGATTCCAGAATAAAGACTCTGATATTTCTTTGGCTGTTCCTTAATATCAGGAAAGAAAATCACCAGCCAGGCATGGTGGTGCATGCCTGTAATCCCAGAGGCCAGAAGACTGGAGAATAGCAAGTTCAAAGCCAGCCTCAGCAACTTGCAAGGCCCTCAGCAACTTATTGAGACCTTTTCTCAAAAAACAAAAAGGGCTGAGGGTGTGGCTGTGTGGTTAAGCATCCCTGGGTTCAATCCCTGGTACCAAAAAGAGAGAAATCACTACCCAGAGCTCAAGAAAGAAATATTTACTGGTTTATTTCTTTTTTTTTTAAATATTTTTAAGTTGTTGAACCTTTATTTTATTCATTTACTTATATGTGGTGCTGAGAATTGAACCCAGTGCCTTATACATGCCAGGCAAATGCGCTACCACTGAGCCACAATCTCAGCCCTACTGGTTTATTTCTTACTTATTTTGTGACTACTTGTTGAGAAGCTACCATGGGGTTTTGGTGATAAAATGAGATAGATGAATAAGATGCAGTTATGTTGCAAATCATGGTTTGTGGAGGAAGTAATATATAAGCAAATTATTGTATTAGTTTGTTAAGTACAGTAATTAAGTCTGTACACAGTTCCTGTACCACGTAGGAAGGAGATGTAGGAGTGTATTGTCTATTGGTGATTTAACATGGTGATCCCAGATAACTGAAGATTTACGATCAGTGTAGCCTATTTAGACACCTGTTAACCTGACCGACTTTCTTAATCACAACTGTAAATCTTGAAGCTGATTGGTCATGGTTTTGAAATGAACACTGCTGCCTGTGGATGCTTGTGCAGTCATCTGTGGCTGATGACGCTGCACTCCTGAGCCCACTGACTTGTAGCTGTTGTCTTTGATCTTACTTAGACTGTCTTGAGAAAGTATCTTAAATTTTATTTTTTAAGCTTTGTATTTTAAAATAATTATAGATTCCCAGAAAGTTGCAAAAAAAGTACAGAGGTCCCCTGTGGCTTCCACCTAGCTTCTTCCAATGGTAGCATCTTACATAACTCTAGTATAGTATTAAAGTTGTCCTATAGTTTTATTTGGATGTCTTTTCTCATAAAAATAATTTTGAAAGATTGACTTGAAGAAAGATGGCTTGAAGCTCAAGGTGTTGATGTTTAATAGGGAATAATAACACTGGGGATGATACCAACCAACCTTCTGTTAAGAGAACTGTTTAATTGTTTGGGGTTTTATTAAATGTTCTGAGGATTTTAGAACTAAAAAGAGTCTTAAGTAGAATCCAGCTCAGTTTTCTGCCTGTTCCTGAGTCTCTTCCCCAGCACTCAGTGTTGACCTTCCAGCCCCTGCGTAAGCACCCTCAGGGAACAGGCCTTTCCCATCCCTGTGCAGCTCATTGTGTTTGGCAGTGCTCATTATTAAAATTTTCTTCAAATCTGCTTTCTGTTAACTCCTTCTAGATAAGGTCACATAGAAGAGGACTGTAGCCCTCCCAAGTTTCCTGTCAGATCATGCCTAAGCTGAGCACCCTCTTTTCTTCTGTTTCTCACATAACATGACCTCAAACCTCTCCCCCCTCCCAGTCCTTTTTCACTGTGAGCTTTTGTCCCTGTGGGTGTATACTTCAAGTATTCTTCTGTGAGGAAATGTGGGTCTCTAGTTAGTCAGTTTCCATCTGAGAAAGAGAAATAGGCCAAAGCACAGTCTGAAATGAGCATATTCCTTGGAAACTTTTAAAAGAACAAGAAAGGGAAACACTTTTCTACTAGGCATAAATGACACCCGCCTAATTTTCAGCCTTTGCTCCTTAGAACCTGTAGGGGGAGCCCTTGATAGTGGATTTGTTTCACTAGCTTGATGGTAAGCAGAATTTCAAGGCATTCAGGTAACTTTGGTGTGGCATACTTTTCCAGCTTTCAAGAGCAGTAATTTCTGACACATTTCAACATATAGGAAGTGATTGGAAGGGTGAATGGCATTTATTAATTTTTTCTTAAATTGTAACTCCATTTAAGGGTGGGATGGATCCTTCCAGCAGGTGGAGCTGTGCACAACAAGGCAGACTTACCCACTCATCCAAGCGTATTTGTGTGAGGCCTTCACTAGGCCTGTGTTATTGTGACTTTTTTTTTTTTTTTTTTTTGGAGAGAGGAAAATGAAGTTGAAGACATGAATCAAGCTCTTGTTGGTAGTTTCCTTTTCATGATATGGTACCCAAAAAGGCAGATGTGGACTCAATGAAGTCTGCATCGATTGTTAATCTCTGTCATGTCATTGGCACTGAGCCAGGTGCTTTTTATGCATCGATGGAGGTTAAGTAATGTGCTCAAGGTCACATAGATGGCCATACAGATGGTCATCATGCAGCTAGGATTTCAGCCCTCCTGGTCTGCCCAGAGTGCTTCTTTCTCCACTGGGCTCCATCACTTCCCCCAGTACAGGTGCAGATCCTTAGCAAACTCTGCTGGTTTATTTGAGGGTCAGCAGTTCTGTATGCGTAAGCCCAGGACACTTGACTCAGCAGAGTGTTGTTGGAAATCCAACCACTGAAGGAAGAACAGAGACGWAGAAGGGCAGGAAAGCCCATCCTTGCCAAATCTACGTGGAGTGTCATGGGAAGTTGGAAGAGCACTGCGTTTGGCCTTGAAAACTTCAAGTGCTGTTTTCTGCTCTACCATCTTCCAGTTGCGTGACCCTGAGAAAGCCACTGCATCAGTCTCCAATTCTGGGACCTTATAAGGATAATGCTTAGGAAGGTATCTTCTAATAACTTCAATGGTCTGTAAACTTAGGTAATATTTTTATTGAGCCTACATTGATACCCCCTTTTAAAATAGAACACATTATATTTCTATTTATAATTAAGCCAGATAATTGCATTATCAATGTCCTCTTTAATTTTTTTAGGGTATTTAAAATGACTAAATCATATTAATTATCTTTTTTGGTACTGGGTATTAAACCCAGAACTACATCCCCAGTCCTTTTTATTTTTTGAGACAGGGTCTCACTAAGTAGCTGAGGACCTGACCTGGTTGCTGAGGCTGGCCTCAAACCTTCAATCTTCCTGCCTCAGCCTCCTGAATCACTGGGATTATAGGTCTGTACCACTGTGCATGGCTATTTCTAGCAATTTTTGATTTATGGATCCTTATGCCATGTTAGTTAAAATGTAAAAATTTATGCTTGTTATATCAACTGTGAGACTCATACACATCTTTCTGTGGTAAAGACTGGGATTGGCCTATATTATATCCTTTTTGTACTGCTTTTGTTGGGTTTTGATAACAAGGTTTTGCTGGTCTCATAAAATAAGACAGATATATCTTCATTTTTCTTTTCTCTGGAAGACTATATAACATATAACAAATTTTAAAAAGAGGATTACAGTCAGGCACAGGGATGTGTGCTGTATATCCCATTAGAATTTTAAAGATGCCTTTGGTAGATAGAACTTGCTGCAGAAACCATGTGAACCTGTTGTCTTCTTTATGGAAAGACTTTTATTGCATTCTATAAACAAATTCAATTCAATTTCTAATTATGTTTTCTTGCCAGAAATTTTTTTTTTCTTGCTTCAGCTTCTGACCTGTGTTGTTGCCGAGAGTCAGTTGTACTCCTGAGAGTGACACCCTCTCCCAGGCCTCTGCTCTGTCTTGCCTGACTGGATAGCAGACTTTAGGGAATTTAAAGATCTCTAAATACAATGTATGCATGGCTTTTAAAAAAATTTCTTTTACAGAAATATTTTTAAAAAATACTTTTTAACAAGCCATATGATGTTTTGTTAAGGGCAATATCACGGAGTGCTCCCACTTTAAGATTTATTTAACATTATGCCAGATGCCCAAGGTAGCTTCTTTCTTGGGTTTCCTTTCTGAGGTTGTTCAGTCACCAGCTCCATGCCTTTTTCACATGATAATCCTTTTGCTTTCTCTTCCTTTCCTGATTCTAGCGCAGGTATTTTTTTGTAATATTTATTTTTTTTTTGTAAGTGGACACAATATCTTTATTTTATTTTTATGTGGTACTGAGGATCGAACTCAGTGCCTCACGCATGCTAGGTAAGTGCTCTACCACTGAGCTACAGCCCCAGCCCAATTTAGCCCAGGGATTGGAGGAACTCTTCTGCATTTCTTTTATAACAAAGTTAAATTGCAATCATGATTTGAGATTATTAAAGCAAGCTCGACCTCTGTGACAAGAGAAGAGGTAAGTTGTCAGTTTTAAAGCTCATTTATTTATAATAAAGATCTTTTTAAAAAATATGTGTATATTTTTAGTTGTTGATATACTTTTATTGTATTCGTTTATTTTTATGTGGTGCTGAGGATTGAACCCAGTGCCTGCAAGCTGTAGAAAAAGACTTTTCAATGCCCCTGGTACAAAACTCAAGTGACATAAACTCTCTTTTTTGGTGGAGGGAACTGCTTAGTATGTGAATTCACCATGTCAGCCAGTCACAATTGAGTCAGTGTGTTCATGCTGTGCTGCCAAAAAGGCTGGAGTGGAGGAGAAACCTTATCAACCTCTTCTGTCTCCTCAA